GTGATATAATATTTAACAGTCTGATCTCCCATCCACCTCTGTACACAACTACGGGCAGTCTAGAGCGGTTAATGAACAGGTATTCAGGGTCCTCGACAGCAAAAGCAGTTGGTTCCGTGATTATCCTTATGGGACATCCATGTAGATTCCTGTTTATCTTTTGAGGAAAGAGATGATTATTTGTGACAAAGTAACCGTTTCCTGTCTGGACCCAAGTATCCAGCAAGGCGACATCCTGCACCCTGGTACATCGCTCTGGACTCTGGTACGGGAACCACGTGTAGACATTGAGAACTGGCACTTCCTTACCTTCCTTGCTACACACTAAAGCAATAGCATTTACGATCCGGTGTTTCCAGAGCTCTGCAATAACCCGTTGCGCCATGCGCGGAGGGCGACTGTAACAGTTCAACAGAGCCACAACGAAGCGAGCTCTGGGATTCCAGGAGCTACTGACAGCCAGATTGTGGAGCTGACCACGGAGAACTGTGTCATTGGCCGTCAGTATGATATAGCTGCCATGCACGTTGACACTTCTCTGACTAGGTTTGTGTGTGTTCGCATTCACGATAAGTTCCCAACGGCTGAGCTCTTGGAACAGGTCCTCCACACTACTGAGGGTCTCAATTTGGTGGGCTGTAAAGCTTAGATCCTTCAGATCAATTCCTCTTGCGAACGTCAATTTAGAAGTGCTTAAATTGGGGTACAGGAAGATATTGGAAGGCCAGGCGACAACCATACTTTGCTTTGGAGCAAGGTACTGGTCACTGATCGTCCTGATGCACCTCACTAGGTACAAATTATGTGACATGATCAGAGCCACTTTCGGGAAGAGGCTGTAGAGAAACGCCAGACATAGGAGAACGCCGTAAGGAAACATCTGGACGGAGAGTCTACTACTGTGTCACTAACAGACACCTGCTTGGCTTCTCTGTGAAACTCGTATGAAGTCAGAACGGCATGTTGACTGCCTTTAAACGTGACATGTGCCAAAACATTGATCGGGATGTTTATATTTGTTTCGTGTCGTATCAGTTGTTAAGAGTGATAAAGTACAGACTTTTATTTGTTAGCGCATCAACAAACTGCTTGTTACCTGTCCATCATCTGCACCGCAAATGAGGCATGAAAAATATTGACTGTAGAACTTTTCCTTTACGCGGATAGAAGGCGAAATGGGATACGTCCTCTATCATAATAAAAAGCGTCAAATATCTGCCTATTACTGTGCACCCTGAAGCTATACCCTTCTATAATAAAAATATGTTTAGTTTTACTTGAATAAATACACGGGCATATATTTTTATGGAGTGATAATTTAATAAAAACAGGTACAATTCTTTTCAAATGAATATCATGTCCTGGTAAAAATAATTTTAACTAAATTACTAAGGAATATTAATATTTACATGTCTGCCCCCGTGTATGAGGGGAGGCGAGGGGTCCGCGATGTTGATGCACCCAAAGCGAGGTTTCTGAGTGTGATATTTCCATCCTGCCAAACTGGTGACATTCAGCCGTTTGTCCCCTTGCACCGCGCCGTGGAGACATATGGCGGCACTAGGTAAAGGCAAAGCCACGAACCCTCGGTGTCCATTGGACAGGATGCTGAGTGGGACCTAGGGCCGGTATTTACGCTGTCGAGAAGAGAAAATTCTCGGGAAGTAAACTCCGGCCGTCAATCCCATAGCCCGTCGCTTTCTTTTATCCTAATAAATTACATATTTTTCTGGTCAGCTTAGGAAATAAAATCAGTTTATATTTTGGAGCCTTTCATTAGCTTCAAAATTTTACAAGAAAATGTACATTCTTGTGGGAATTTTCTTCTCCGTACTTGGAGGACCACCATATTGAGATGCTGTAGCACACTTCCGGCAATGGCCGCAGGACGCAAGGAAGTGCTCCAGGTTCTGAATTAGTCCATATGGATTGCTCTGATAACAACTGTACAGGTTCGGGGGTAATGAAATGGGCAGAACGTGCATCAGGGTAATTTAATTTGCAAAATTTACGTAGAAATATTTATGGCCAAACAAAAGTATAACATTAAAACTGACCACTTCAGACATGGAGACATGTTTTAGACATAATTTGGGCCCCAACTTGTATTTTTCATAGACGGGGTTGCGTCTTGCTCTGAAACACCAGAGGCACTTCAGAGAAGTCGTAGTCCCCTTATTCAGAGTGGCTTATCTGCTATGTCCTCAGAGTACTCCCCCCCCTCCTCCGACCGCAGTCTTCCTATTCTGTGTAAGTTGCCTGCATTACTTAGTAGTTGCTGCTAAACACGTTAACCGACCTCTGTCTTAAGGAGGGACCGTTCTCGTGGGCGAGTGATCTCAAGTGCGCATGATAGCAGGTCCCCCGGGGCTTTCGATTTTTCGTTCAAATCTGCATTGACTGATGGACATGCTTCCTGTGAGAAACGATTACCGTTAGAGGCCGATACCTCGTCAAGTAAGGATTTAGTAACTGAGAAATGTATTTGAAATTAAGGAAAACAGCATAAAGGCCCGTCCACATTACTCGTGCTCGGGTTTGTCGGGAGACTCGTCTGGCTTTTACGAGGATTGTACTGAAAGTCACGAGCAACATTTTTTTAAAAAGTAATTTGCTTTATTATTGGCAAACCAAATACCCCATCTCAGTCTACTGACCTTTCTTTATTTTTCCACATAATCGCCACTTCTTTGTACACATTTCTTCTTTCTTCTTTAGGGCCGAAACCCTGTATGCATTCCTCTTTTCCCCATTCACGCTACTGTCATTCTCCTTGACGAAGGCAACATGTTATAAAGCCTGTCATTAAGCAATTTTATCTAGCTCCCTAATATTTCCGTACCGTGTTCTCAAAGAAATTCAGTCCGTGTTATTCCCTTAATGCCAGAACTGCGGCAAAATTATAGTTTTGTACGTACATTTTAATCCTTCAGTTGTTACACAGCGGACGAGAAGCTGAACGTTTCTGAACCGAATGACAGTAAATATCCGAACTGACTACATGCTGCATTTGAGATCACAGTCAGTGCTAATTCTCACACTACACATATTGTGTTACCTGAACGCACAGGAGGACTAGTGGTTCGGCTCAAACCTTAAATAAGGAGCCTATACCCTACTGCTAAAATTGCGACAGAATGGTGTCCTTTGACAAAAGCACGGTGTTCTATATTAAGGTTCTTGGCATCAGCTCTAAGCGACGGTTTATTAGAGATTTCGCACAAAATTTGCACTTACTCGCCTGTTAGACTCTTCTTTAAACTTTCCATAACCTCTCCATAAAAAATGTGAAGCTCCGCCTCTGCCCCATTAAGATGAATGTGCACTTCCTGACATTCTTAGCCTCTGCACTACATAGAGGTGAGTGGTCAGCTTCATGCTCCAGCGGCCTGAATGCGGGGGAAGGGGCCCAGACCCGATGTGGATGCCACGAAAAAAGAGAAAATTTTTTCCCCTCTGCAAGGAATCGAATACTGATTCTTCCACTGTCCAATGTAGCGCTTCACTGAAGGGATATGCTGCTAATTCGATGGAAAGGCACCGGGAGCGCCACTTGCCGGCTCAGCATGCAAGCGCGTAACTGAGACCGTGGGAACAGATGGCGTTACTATCATAGACTGTATACGTTGTTCAGAGGTAGAGTAAACGGTACGAGGACCAATGGGCAACAATGATGGATATTCTGTCTGAGAACAGCAAAAACGAAAAGCCAAAGTCAGTTACAGAGCTCGTAATATTTCACCACTTCCTTGAATAAGTTCTGCCGGAATTTGACTAATACCTGGCGATTTATACCGTTTCAATTTTGCAATGGCACTTTCAACCTCAAAAGGACTAGGATCAGGTACTAACGGCTCAGCTGTATGGATTTCTGTCTGCCTAACAGCACTGACCCTATATACGTTCAGTAACAGAGAGAAGCAGTTCTTCCACCTATTCAAAATGTTGTGGGAATCTGCAAGCAGATCACCATTCTCATCCTTCACTGAGAGTATTTCGGTTTCCCTTGCCAATCTTCATTCCGCCAAATTGTCCATCATCATAATCATCCGAGGCAGGCTATGATAGGCCAATCAGTGGCCGCCGTGCCGAGTGGGCCTTGTTAGACTCCACCCCCCACTTAGCGAATTAAAATAAAAAGTTACTTCTAGGTTGGTAACCCTTCTTAAAGTTATTTATTCCTCTATACAGGTCTCTAATGTTCTTGTTCTTACTGTTCATTGCAAGCTCATCAATTTTGTCTTTCAGATATTCCCCCCCCCCCTTAAATGCCTGCTGGTTTCACTTCGTATAGTTTCCAGACATCCGTTTCTTTCGCTTGAATGCTATAACCACTACAATTTGGCTTGTTTTCTTTGGTCTAATAAATTTGAGCATCCTTCATCGAACCATAGCGTATGCTTCTTCAGTTCGTAATAACCTTGGCAGAATTGTTGATATTTTTCTAATAGTTCCCAAGATTTATTAATATCCACCTCTAAGTTTTCCAAAGCTGCTACCCTTGCTAATCCCTGCAGTTTTAGGGAAAAGCACGTACACAGAACATGCGGCAAGTATATCAAAGAAGCCGCGTAGATGCGAGAAAAATAAAAATAAATCAGTAATGAAAACTATGATATAACAACAACTGTGAGTAGATAATTTACGTTTAATTTCTTAGAATACAACATTACTGTACATAAAAAATCACGGCATGTAATAAAGAATAAACAAGCATCATCTTATTTAATCAGTGCAGTGGCTGAGAATAAAATACAAGCATATGAAACACGGTAACTGAGATAAAGTAAAACGAATAAAATTCGGCAATTAATTTCTTACAATAGGTAAAAATTCGCGTCACACCTTTCACCTTGTGACGGCACGCCGGTTGCGGGACACTGAGTTAGACCATGACGCAGCGTTATGCTTCTGGAGTGGCCGCGATGTTTTTCCTCCTTGGCGACAAGTGCCCCGTAGAATGCATGATGCTGACATGCTTTTGGTCAGAGAGAAGAAGCGAGTAAGCGTGGCATCATATTAGACGTTTTGTAATGTGGTGGTATCCTAGGTACAATGGAACTGCGCGGCTGGATGGGAAAACGGCCATTGTCACCGGTTCGAACACCGGCATCGGCAAATTCACTGTTCTGGATTTCGTCAAAAGAGGTAAATTTTAGTGACTACTTTGACATCGCCTAATGGAGACGAAAAAATGTGTTTCTCTGACTAATCTTTACATTTATACGGTTACTTTTAAGAAGCGTCAGCAGACTGGACCATACAGTGTTTGATGTTAGGATTATGGTGAATACTAAATTAGGATGTGAATGGAAGCGTGAATGGCCTGCGCTACTAACCAGCATCTTCCCAGAGAGTCTGAGGAACACCACGAAAAGCCTTAGTCAAGATAGTCTGCGACCCGGACGGCTAACGAGTACATCTTGCGTATTGCCGTGCATTTATTTCGAAAGAGAGTTGTCCCTCTGAACGACCTCAGTGTCAGACTGCGTAGCGCTGAATAGTAGGGTGATGTGGAAAGAGGGGGACGGAGAAAGCCCTAAAAAGGCTAGAGATAGTCAGTACATTACCCCTCCCTCAGAGGCGCTATCAGGTTCGGTCGCTCTGTGACACGTAGCCTGTCCCATGGGCGGAGGTGAAACTTCGACCTCGGCACTAGGTGGAGGAGAGTCCTCAGTTACTTGCTCCGGCTGTTTTAACTCCAGTGGCCAGAGGATAGGAGGCTTTGTGGACCCCAGAGTTCACCTCGACGCATTGTCATACACTGATTTACTTACGACCAGCAGCCTACTATACACATTCTTCCATTTCACACCGTCCCAACCCCAAGATCGTATTTTTCGGTTTACAACAATCAGCAATAACAACATGGCGGACGCGCAACATTGGAAGTTGGGGGCAATATTAAAGCCACTTAGTTTAGGATCCTGAAAGTATGTATGCATGAGAAATAAAAAATATGACAGATTTCGTAGTTTCCGGCGTGATAACGGTAGCTAGTGAAACGTTCGTGTTATGCTTGTAGAATGTGGTACGGAGAGAATCTGTTTACACGTCATGTATGGAACATTGTTTGTGGGTCAAAAATTACAAACACGGCAACCGTGTTACTCGTTGAGGTTATATACGGAGTCTGTATTTAACAATTTAAAGACTGAATCTCTTTTAAATAATGTATAAAAATTCAGTTCGTACCTCACAGGATACGTTACGTCACCACTACAAAGCCCAACAGGTTAATGCTATTTAGGGAAACAGTCGCTGTTTGCTGTGAGAACCATAGGGAACACACAAATACAGTCTGTAGGCAGAAAACTAAGTCCCTACCTCACAGGAAACACATTACATCTCCGTTACAAAGCCCAACCGGTTAATGCTGTTTAGGGAAACAGTCGCTGTTTATTGTGAGAACCGTACGGAACACACAGATATACTTTGTGGGTAGAATGTAGTGTTTTGGTATGTTACAGCAAGTGGTGCATATAGAACCACTAGGCTTCGAAAGGCCAAGCGCCCAATACATTTTTCAGAGAATAAGATAACGTTAGTAGGAGTCTGATTAACAGTGGTCCCTTCGGGTACAAATTCAAAGTAGATGATTAACTTTGTTTTGATCTTCGGACTGGGGAATTCTTCGATATGCATTCCGTGGACTGGCGTTTGCCCCGGGATCATACTGATAACAACATGCTTCATCACCAGTGATGGCACGATCGAAAATATTATCTTCTTGAAGTTGTTCCACAAAGTCCGTTCGCTTTGTTATGGGAGCACCTCTCCTTTCAGCGTCGTTCAGGTTTTCTCTGCCTTCTGTGAAACGTTTGTGCCACTTAGAAACATTGCTGCTGCTGCTGCTGCTGCTCATAATAGATTCACCATAAACTGCTTTAACATCTCTAACGTTTCACTTGCAGATTTATGAAGTTTAACATAAAATTTCACATTCACCCTCTGTTGCATCGTACGCTCGATTTTCACGTCTCGACAAAGCTGACGACACACAGAGATCTAACGAGCTACTGTTCAACGAATATTGAACAGTAGCTCTATGTGCTGGTGTATGTTGATTGCTTGGTAAAACTGAGGTACTGTGTTTCAAAGCAATCTACCACGAATAACATGCACAAATAGTCGTTCTCTGTGACATAACGGCTGAAAGCCGGAATAGTGCAGTAAGTGTTGTATACCGGTGATGGGACAGATTGCAGGTTGGCAGGGCGAGCGGTTCTCTTGGGAGTCAGTGCGGGGTGTGAGAGTACTGCAACTTGAAATTAACTAATACGTTTATTGATAATGTACACAGTTGTAGAGAAAACCCTGTTTGTAAGAAAATCAGTGGTCTGCCTGAGCAAGGGCAGCGGCCGACTCCTGGTATCAGACAGCTCCTGCTCCACTTAATGGATACTCGGGCAGCGTCGATATCAAAAAGCGTCTTGGTAACGCCCCGGTGGGCTTATCTATGTGGTCCAGTTAGGGCGTTACCCTGCTGGAGTAATCTGACTAGCGTCATTCATTGCATCACCCTCGTGAGTTTTTGGAGGGTCCACAGCTGTCTTGTTCTTAGTAAAAACAAACTTCTTTCTTGTGACAGCAGAGGTGAAGGACAAAGCTCTAATCTTTTGATCCTTTCTGAAGTTAATCTCTTGATACTTTCTGTTGGTACAATCGTNCTCAGTTACTTGCTCCGGCTGTTTTAACTCCAGTGGCCAGAGGATAGGAGGCTTTGTGGACCCCAGAGTTCACCTCGACGCATTGTCATACACTGATTTACTTACGACCAGCAGCCTACTATACACATTCTTCCATTTCACACCGTCCCAACCCCAAGATCGTATTTTTCGGTTTACAACAATCAGCAATAACAACATGGCGGACGCGCAACATTGGAAGTTGGGGGCAATATTAAAGCCACTTAGTTTAGGATCCTGAAAGTATGTATGCATGAGAAATAAAAAATATGACAGATTTCGTAGTTTCCGGCGTGATAACGGTAGCTAGTGAAACGTTCGTGTTATGCTTGTAGAATGTGGTACGGAGAGAATCTGTTTACACGTCATGTATGGAACATTGTTTGTGGGTCAAAAATTACAAACACGGCAACCGTGTTACTCGTTGAGGTTATATACGGAGTCTGTATTTAACAATTTAAAGACTGAATCTCTTTTAAATAATGTATAAAAATTCAGTTCGTACCTCACAGGATACGTTACGTCACCACTACAAAGCCCAACAGGTTAATGCTATTTAGGGAAACAGTCGCTGTTTGCTGTGAGAACCATAGGGAACACACAAATACAGTCTGTAGGCAGAAAACTAAGTCCCTACCTCACAGGAAACACATTACATCTCCGTTACAAAGCCCAACCGGTTAATGCTGTTTAGGGAAACAGTCGCTGTTTATTGTGAGAACCGTACGGAACACACAGATATACTTTGTGGGTAGAATGTAGTGTTTTGGTATGTTACAGCAAGTGGTGCATATAGAACCACTAGGCTTCGAAAGGCCAAGCGCCCAATACATTTTTCAGAGAATAAGATAACGTTAGTAGGAGTCTGATTAACAGTGGTCCCTTCGGGTACAAATTCAAAGTAGATGATTAACTTTGTTTTGATCTTCGGACTGGGGAATTCTTCGATATGCATTCCGTGGACTGGCGTTTGCCCCGGGATCATACTGATAACAACATGCTTCAACACCAGTGATGGCACAATCGAAAATATTATCTTCTTGAAGTTGTTCCACAAAGTCCGTTCGCTTTGTTATGGGAGCACCTCTCCTTTCAGCGTCGTTCAGGTTTTCTCTGCCTTCTGTGAAACGTTTGTGCCACTTAGAAACATTGCTGCTGCTGCTGCTGCTGCTCATAATAGATTCACCATAAACTGCTTTAACATCTCTAACGTTTCACTTGCAGATTTATGAAGTTTAACATAAAATTTCACATTCACCCTCTGTTGCATCGTACGCTCGATTTTCACGTCTCGACAAAGCTGACGACACACAGAGATCTAACGAGCTACTGTTCAACGAATATTGAACAGTAGCTCTATGTGCTGGTGTATGTTGATTGCTTGGTAAAACTGAGGTACTGTGTTTCAAAGCAATCTACCACGAATAACATGCACAAATAGTCGTTCTCTGTGACATAACGGCTGAAAGCCGGAATAGTGCAGTAAGTGTTGTATACCGGTGATGGGACAGATTGCAGGTTGGCAGGGCGAGCGGTTCTCTTGGGAGTCAGTGCGGGGTGTGAGAGTACTGCAACTTGAAATTAACTAATACGTTTATTGATAATGTACACAGTTGTAGAGAAAACCCTGTTTGTAAGAAAATAAGTGGTCTGCCTGAGCAAGGGCAGCGGCCGACTCCTGGTATCAGACAGCTCCTGCTCCACTTAATGGATACTCGGGCAGCGTCGATATCAAAAAGCGTCTTGGTAACGCCCCGGTGGGCTTATCTATGTGGTCCAGTTAGGGCGTTACCCTGCTGGAGTAATCTGACTAGCGTCATTCATTGCATCACCCTCGTGAGTTTTTGGAGGGTCCACAGCTGTCTTGTTCTTAGTAAAAACAAACTTCTTTCTTGTGACAGTACAGGTGAAGGACAAAGCTCTAATCTTTTGATCCTTTCTGAAGTTAATCTCTTGATACTTTCTGTTGGTACAATCGTCTCCTCATACTATGTATCCATAAGGTACAGTCTTTTCCTCATATCACAATATACCATATAACATATTATATCAATTACCTTATAAAACAATTCATTAAATACTATGTATCCCCATATACCACATAGGTATTAACATATACAACAGTTTATAGTAAGCATCACCATACCTTAGACAACAATCTATACCAGGTGTCACCATATACAACATAAGAAAAGGAAGCCGTTGCTGAGTAACATCGCAGTAAACGTTTCCGCGCAAACGAATAAACACGCAACAGTAGAAGACGCGGTGTCTTCTGTTCGGTCCGTACCGACACTATATAACAAGGACCAACGGGAAAATTTCGGCGATCCCCGCCTGGAGGCGATCCGAATAAATTCACCGCAGCCCAGCGGGCCGTACAAGGCGACGATATTGGAACCCAGTGCCTGGGGCTACAAGCGGGCCACCCTGTTCCTGTGGGATATAAATACGGGGACCTGACCCTCCAGGTTGGGGGAATCTCGAATCTGAGACAATAAAATATGTCATGAGCTCAATGGGACCCTGATCTGATTAAGACTGCGCTGGCGAAGACCAGCAGGAATTGTAAATGACAGATCCGTCCTGACGTTAGAGAGAGCGCCCCACATCAACAAGCCTGCAACTGTAGTACAGTAATATAGATCTGGTCTTAAGCTTTGTTCCAAGACAGACTGGCCTACATAACTTTGACTTTCGGAATACGACACAAGTACACATACAAATTTTGCTTAGAATGACCGTTAGTTAGTTAGTTAGTTATTGGAGAGGGTGGGTTTCCCCATGCACTTAGACCAGTATTGGTCCATTGTGCTTCCCTCTATGATATTCTACCAGTCTCTATAGCCTACCGATAATGGTGCGTACCATCAGTCCCGCCGAGCATGCGAGTTCGTCCTCCACTAGCTTGGCGGTGTCTATAATGCTTCCCCCATCTATCAGAGGCCTTAGAGATTATTGTTGGGCGGGAAACGTCCTTGAATTTGGCTCAGTGATCTCCTTGAGAGATATGAGGTTCTTTTACGTGCCGTAAAGCTACGACACAGGACACACGGCTTAAAGTCCCTCCCGGAGGACTTGTTCCCTGAATTTTTCCGCCCTTAAAAATTCGACGACCTCCGCCGGGTATTTGAACCCGCGTACAACGAGTCATGAGGTGGGAACGTTACCTCTAGACTACGGAGGCCGCTTTATAATGACCGTTACTATGACCTCCCAGAATTCTGACCTTCCCTCCTAGGACATCCTGTTTCTCCAGAAATTGTACCATTGCTGCGTGAGCCTCTGTTGCCGCGGAAACATATGTGTATAAATGGCCTGTTATCATCATTATCGTAATTATTAAGAAACAGGCAAAACTATCGCTGTAACAGGGTGTGGAAGCCCATAGGATTGTGAGACAATCGGTTCACAGTTGGCGGTGAGGTCAGCCTTACGCGCCGGCCGCCCTTTACCCCCACGAAGATTCCTGGTACTCGGCTGAGTCGACTCCAGGGCCACAGTGCGGCTGGAAGGATTAGGTCAATTGAGAAATCCTCATCAGGAATCGAACTTGGGACCTTTCGGCTTGTAACATATTATTGTTGCTGGAGTGGAATATAAATTGTGCCCCGTGCTTACACTTCTAAATCCTAAAACTGGTCCACAATATTTCAAAATTCAGCTCCATCCTCGCTCGCTGCAAGGCACCATCTTCATTACACAGAGAGCCAGGTATGTAATCATACCCAGTGCACGCTATGGACAAAATTCGCAGTTCTTTAACGTAATGACAGCTGGTACATATAGTTACCACTCTGATTTAAATGCTTAGGCACCACGCCATTGAAACCTATGCAGGAGTGGAGACAGACAATCCGGTATCAGGGAAAACCGAGAGACGTGCTTCACGGTCCGGCTGTTTTAACTCTAGAAAGNCGGTCGGCGTTTTTACAACATGAAACAGGACCCCCCCCCCCCCCCCGCTTTCTGTATTCACCGTATAAGATACTGGGTGTGTCCCAAGATTGTAAGGCCACGGTTCGATAGAGAAAAATCTCTGTTGTAGTCGAGGTTCTTGCAGCGGTCTGTAAAGCGTATATAATACATTATAGTCCGGTAGGAGTTCATCAACATGTGGGCGAGGACGTAGTGCTTCCAAAACGTTATTTGTCGCCTGCCAGTTGCCGGCAACTTGCGTGGCTCAGTTTTCAGTCCTGTGAGTGGAGGCAGTATATGTTTCGAAACTACGGTGAAGCACTGGTTAACGCCCTCTCTGACTGCTAATTCATCTCACCATTTTATTCGAAGTCAGTGGCTTTTGCAGTGAATAAAATGGCTTCCAAATTCGTACGTGAAATTCCCTCTGCAGCAGTGGTTCCACGTGTCGAGGCTGATGCAGAGGCATTTCTTCTCTCCAGGTGCTCGGGTGGTCATGGCCTGTAGAAGCGTGGACAAGGCAGAAGCTGCGGCCAAAGAGATCCGTGACGTCACCAGGGATGTGCAAGGAGCCGGAACTGTGCGTGTGGTCAGGCTGGACTTGGGCTCCCTTGCCTCGGTGAGACAGTGTGCCCAGGAGCTGCTGAAGACCGAGGATCGAATCCACCTGCTTATCAACAATGCAGGTACAGCATGAGACTCAAGGACGAATCTCGCATGTTTTGTATTTGGTAGTAAATGTGGCAGTAGCCGTGAGCATGGGTCCCAAGACTGAAGTTCTCTGCTCATCTAGTGCAGTGCGGAACGCCGGGGCAAAACTAACTAAATCAATACAGGTAACACGATAATACACTAACAGGAACCGCGAATTACGTATGTGGTTAAATTCTCAAGGGACGTTAAGTTGATTAAAAAAGTCTAACAGATCTGCAGATAGTCTAAATTAGCACTCGCGCGTGTATTAAAATTCGCACTTCGAAAGCATCTGTCTCCTCATGTTCCGCAGCCCAATTGGCTGCCATCATCAGGCGGACAAGTTGTAGAGAAAACTGCCGCCCCCTTGTCGCGCTGCAACGCTTACATTTTAAAGGTGTAAACTACTTGCAGAATACTTTAAAATTATTTTTAAATTATCATGCTGTAATTATTTTGTTGCATGCACTTACTGTGGGTCTGGTGTATATTTTATTGGTCTTTTGGTGCAAGATAATTGTTGAAGTGTTATGTAAAGTAACTTTTCATTATTGATAATAGATTGCACAGTGTTGTAAGTTCTGTGAGTAGCAGAGGTTACTTCTTTTACTTGTTTTTCTCTGTGTACTCCCATTTGTAACCCGTTTGTGTTATGAAGTAAAGACATGGACAGGCAGTATGTTGGTGGCACGCGGTAGCGTAGTTGGTTGGCAGTATGTTGGTGGCACGTGGTAGCGTAGTTGGTTGGTTGAGGCACTATGCTACAAGCCGGAAGGTCGCGGGTTGGAGTCCCGATGATGTGGGTTTTTTCAGTTTATGTAATTCTTCCAGCCGCACTGTGACCCGGGGGCCGACTCAGTCGCTAATGGAAATGAGTACCAAGAATATTCCGGGGGTGGGATAAAGGGCGGCCGGCGCGTAAGGCTGAAAACCTCACGGCCATCTGTGAACCGATTGTCTAGAGGAAATGTGGGAGCCTCGACATCTCACAACCCTATGGGCCTTCACGACCTGTTACAGGGATAGCTTTACCTTTTTATCTTTACACGCAGTATGTTGTACAGGTAGTGTTCGTGTATTATTCCGTGAAATTTCAGCGCATTTTAAAAATAACTTCGTGAGAAAACTACGAAACACATGAGTAATGAGAATCATTATTTCTAGTAAGGCACAGAAAGCCATGCGACTCCCAGCGAAAGAATAGCTGAATTCTAGGAAGGGCAATCCAAATATTCTCCCAAGCATCCTGTTCCTCAAACACCCCCAGTCTATGTTCCTCCGTTAATGTCAGAGACCACGTTTCACACCCATACAGAACCACAGGCAAAATTATAGTAACAAGCATGTCATGTTCGACATCCAGTCGATTTCTCTTTTTGTTTTTATGGTTACAAGTGCTGAAACTCCCGAGTATATAGTTGCAAATGGAATTAAAGCTTCTGTCGCTCTCTTTACAGGGTGAGGATAGACTTTTCTCAAGGAAAACCACGATTCTCCAAGGCTTTTCGAGTTAAACTGTAATTATAGCAGTTTTACTTTTTAAGTTGGTTGAAGCACTATGCTACAAGCCGGAGGGTCGTGGGTTCAAGTCCCGATGAGGTAACTGGATTTTTTTCAATTGATCTGATCCTTCCAGCCGCACTATGGTCCTGGGGTCGACTCAGCCTCTAACAGAAATGAGTACCAGGAATATTCTTGGGGTTAAATGGCGGCCGACGCGTAGGGCTGACAACCTCACCGCCATTAACGTCAGAGACCAAGTTTCACACCCATACAGAACCACAGACAAAATCATAGTTTTGTATATTTTAATTTTTACCTTTTTAGACATCAGACGAGAAGACAAAAGCTTCTGAACTGAATGGTAGCAAGCATTACCCGAGTTCAGTCTCCTCTTAATTTCGTCCTGAAACAGGTTTTGATTTGTTACTGTTATTTCCAAATATCTGAACTGTGTCACATTTTCAAGGCATCTGCTATCTGTGTTTATGTCACGATTTTGCCCTGCACTGTGGTCACGAGACAGCAACATATACACATACTTAGTTTTCTCTGGGCCAACCTCTTTACTACCATCAACCAAAGTTTCTGTGAGTTTCTTCGTGGTATCTATGAGTATGCTCTACATATATGCTATGTATGTGATGCTACCGAAGGGCGGTTGCCATATCAAAATAATCACGTGTATGTGAATGTCCTTAATTACATTACCGAAGCACATTATCTGCCGGTCACGGTGGCCGCCTGGTGTAAGGCATGAACCGTTTTCGCTCACTTGGACGCTGGGATCGTGGGTTCGAATCCCACTCAAGGCATGGATGTTTGTATGTACGTTTATTCTGTGTTGTGTTGTTCTGTGTGTAGGTAGCGGCCTTGCGACGGGCTGATCCCCCGTCCAAGGAGTCCTAACAGACTGTGCTGGATCAAGAAACTGAGAAAGCAGCCAAGGATAGATAGAAGCACTTTATCTTTCGTTTATATTCGCCCTGAAGAAGACGTCCTTGGCAGTGCGCCATGCTACGCAGGGTATGCGATTGAAAGACGATACCGTCGCCAATTTATCGCGGCGTCACAAGAATTGCAGAGGTGGGCTGGGTTAATTTAAATGTAAACGTAACAGTAGTCGCAGATAAAGAAACTAGGGGGCGGGCTCCGAATTAGTGACGTCACAACAGACGAGACTTACTGGCAGCTGCACAAACACAGAACACGAGGGGGGTGGAACAGTAAGAAACTAGCAACCATGAAAAAATAAAAATAGAAACAAGTAAAATGCATATGATGTTAATTTCATGCAACCTGCTGTGCTACAATATACAACNTTATAATTAAATGATTTAACATTGAAGATATAATATAGAGTATATGTTATTACTTACTGTGTAATGCTGCCTCGTCATTAAGAAGAATTGTCCGTATTGCACGGAAAGCAAACAACGACTGATTTGGTGATGTAGGATTAAGGTCAATGTAAGGGAGGGAGGGCGGGGTGAGATGTAAGGTGTATGCGGAAGTGACGGTAAGGGTGGAGGGGAGAGGGTATAACTGTATATTACGTTTTGTGTGTATCAATTATAACATCATATATAGGATTATATATTTCAGTGAAATTATCATTCAGTTGTAGGTTCTGTTTACTGATTTCGTATATATGAAACTTTTCATAAGTATCCAAGGTTCGGCCCTTCTTGCCGATATACAAAACTTCCAATGTTCTGTCTATCGTACCATATTCATGTGTGGTGTCCAACACATGTTGAGCAAATTTGGAACTTTGTCCGTTATTTTTTGTCACGTATGTGTTCTTTGAATCTGATTTTAAAGGTCCGTCCAGTTTGTCCAATATATTTCAATGGACAGTCAGAACATTGCAGTTGATAAACCCCGCTAAGGTTATGCATATCATTTTTGTCATCATTGATTTTCAACAGATGTTTTATATTGTTTTTGGTCTTATATGAGATACCAACCTCAGTGTTCTTGAGAAGTTTAGTAATAGATCTAATTTCATGGCCAAAATAAGTAAAGGTGACCTCTGAGATTATAAATAGGCTTATGCCTCATCGTAACCCTTTGGTTACTTTCTTGGTGTGTAGGCCTTGGTATGTTCCCTCTCGTACGATGTCTCGCCATCATTGAGTTATGGTTAAGATTATGATTAGCCCCCCCCCTATTGTTAGTAGTTCCTGATTGTATTGATGGAATCATTTGATTATGCCCGATATTGTTACTATGGCTCCAGTAGCGCCTGTTTCCGGCCATGGTCTCTGTTCCACTAAGTGGAATGGGTGGTTTCTGTGTCTTGTCATTAATTTACTTCTCTAGAATACAGAACCACAGGCAAAATTATAGTTTCCTATATTCTGATTTTTAGGTTTTAGACAGCAGACGAGAAGACAAAAGGTTCTGGACTGAATGGTAGCAAACATTACCTGAGTTCACTATCCTCTGTTTCCTCCTGAATCAAATTTTGATTTGTCACTGTCGTTCTCAAATATCTGAACTGTCCCACATTTTCAAAACATCTATTAGCTATCTTTATGTCATGACTTTGCCCTGCATTCTGGTGACGAGACAGCAACTTGTACTTAGTTTTCTCTGTGTTTACTTCTAGACCAACCTCCTTACTAGCGTCAATTCAAGTTTGTGTGTTTTTCTTTATGGTATCTATGTTGTGTCCCAGTAGATGGGCTGCATCGCTTTGTAACAATATTAAAACGTATGCTTCACTATAATACAGTAAGACAAGAGTCGGCTACGGGCTGCACGACCGATGAGTTCGAATCCCGTCAGGGCCCAGAATTTTCTCTCATCCACGTTGTTGAGGCACCTACTTAACTACAATTCATAAGCAGTGTTAATTAATAAATTTCTGTTATTTCTTATTGTGTTTTTATTTTGTTACGCATTGACCGGAGGGAGGACAGACAACCATCCCACAGAAAACACAGTACCTCAGTTTTACCAAGCAATCAACATACATCAGCACATAGAGCATTTGTTTCAGGGATCATGGCGTGCCCCCAGGGCAAAACAGAGGACGGCTTCGAGACGCAGTTCGGGGTCAACCACCTGGGCCACTTCCTGTTCACCTGTCTGCTCCTGCCGCGCATCATCCGCTCCGCTCCTGCAAGGATCGTCATTGTGTCCTCCTATGCACATGTATGTGAGTACAGTTTGGTTTGATGCCAAGAAACGGAGATGAGATGCGCGGCTGTCACGCCCCGATGGCCGTGAACAGTGCGATCTTCTGAGGTAAGACACCGTGTAGTCTTGTAGAAGTTTATCGGCGTTTTAGAGGAACGTAACCGCCACCGAGTTCAGGGTCTGAAAAGAGTAGGGCAAGCGCGTAAGCAGCACAGTACCACTGTGCTTCCTCATTTGTTCTCTTATCTTCCGACCCTGAAGACTGCATAAGCGGTAAGTTCCCCTGAAATTCGACACTCCCACAATACACGGCGTCGTATCCCAGAAGAAGCAAACTCTGTCCGGAAACACAACAGCGGAAGGCACTATGCTACAAACCGGAAGGTCGCGGGTTTGATTCCCGATGAAGTGATGGGATTTTCCAATTAAGCTGCATTATGGCCCTGGGGTCGATTCAGCCTCTAACAGAATTGAGTACCAGGAATCTTCCTGGGGGGTAAAGAACGGCTGAAAACCTCACCGCCATCTGTGAGCCGATTATCTAGTAAATGTGGGAGCCTCGACGTCTCACATAATCTATGGGCCTCCACGGCCTGTTGGTCCTCAGGATTTTAAATCCCCCATTCGTCTTGATGTACACTTCCTGTAAATGCATATGAGTTGTTGAAGTAACGTCGCAGTAAATGCGGCACCATTCGAAGGAATAGTCCACAAGTTTTTTTTCTATGCTATGCAACGAATCTCTCAGCAGCATAGACTACACAGCATCACATGACTGGATGATTCAAGTATGATGAATTGAAAATCATGAAGAAGGAAGCGGCCATTGCCTACATCGAGATGCTATCGCGGCATTTGACTCTAGGTACTTAGAAAAACCACGGAAAATTCAGTCAGGATAGCCGGTACCCCGGCCAAGATTCGCAACAAATTACTCGAGACTATTTGTCACAAACATTTCCACTGGAGACCCTCTGTACTGTATAGCAAGCAGCACGCGATTCTGTTGCAGTTTCGAAACCTTGGGCGGTTGATGCGAAAAACAAGAGAAGTTCGTCGAGTGGATGTGGAGGGGAGAGAGTAGATGACCTTGCGAAGGAAGAATGGACTGCAGAAACTTCTTATTCCGCATGCCATGGACACGAGGTCAGTGTTGACCACTACATCGTCATTACAGAGTTACTTCAGCATGCTTCCGGCACGCATGCGCCGGTGGAGAATTCAGACACAACTCCACAGGACAGTTCTTCGGTAGCATTGCCTACACCTTGGTTCGTAGAGTGCTGCCAAAAGTATATTGTAGCGTGTAGAGCCGGCTCGGTAAACACGTTCCCGCATGCAACAATAGACGGTTATAAAGAGGACAAATGAAGCAAGAATATGCAGTTGGAAGGGAGCCGCAGTTGAGAGGACGAGAGCCCGGTAGCAGATGTCTAGCCATTGTTAGAAGCCGTTACCAGGCAACTACTTTAACGGAGATTAAGTGAAGAATACTTCCCTGTCTCAATTGTTATACTTTAACGGAGATTAACTGAAGAATACTTATTTGTCTCGAGAAGGCCGCGCCATAGCTCAAGCGGTTAGTCGCTGGCTTTCCACCGCGGTAACCCGGGTTCGATCCCGGGTCTGGTCAAATGGGATTTGTGGTGGACAAAGTGGCGATGGGGCAGGTTTTCTCCGAGTACTTCGGTTTCCCCTGCCAATCTTCATTCAACCAGTTGCTCCACAATAACCCTCACCTATCATCTGGGGCTGGTACAATAGGCCAGAAGTAGCCGCAGTACAAGGGACTTAGTCCCACCCCACTAGCAATAAAAAAATATTTGTCTCAATTGTTATAATTTAACAGAGATTAACTGAAGAATATTTTTTGTCTAATTTGGTATATTTTAACAGAGATTTCTGTTGCTGTCGTCTAAAAATGCTCTGCCGTAAGGCTTGTTTGCCATTGGTGTTTGTGGCGCTTCTTAGCGAACTGCGCCCACACAGACATACGAATGATGAATGGTTCGCAAAGGTGCGCCACAGGTCCCAGAGGAAGATGAGCCGTACACTGGTACGTTAAAGAAATGTATGATTTCAACTCTACATACAAGGATATTATTTTGGGTGTTTGCGGAAAGGGACGTTCTCAAGCGTAATGTTTGCCTCTTTCCAGTTGGAACCATGCATTTCGATGACCCGTATCTTGAGAAGTCCTACAGCCCTTCCAAAGCTTACGCCCAGAGCAAACTTGCCAACGTGCTGTTCTGCAACGAACTGGCCAGGAGGCTTCAAGGTAAGGCAGGCGGATTGCCGTGTGGGACTGGGAGTGCAAAGCTGACTGTTCTCATCCTCAGCGCCCGTGGCTGTCTTCTGTTTCAGGGACGGGCGTTACAACTTACTCTCTGCACCCTGGGATTGTCAAGACCGAGCTCTTCAGGCACACGAGTGACTCATATTTCCGCGGGGTGCGAGCCATTCTGAACGGAGTCGGGGCATTATTTTTCAAAACTGCTGAAGAAGGCGCACAGACCACGATATATTGCGCGGTGGACGAGAAACTGGCCGATAAGACAGGGCTCTACTATAGGTAAGGACTGAAGGGAATTTCAGAAATATTTGCCCTAGCTTAATGGAGAAAATCTGCCCTTGTGTGTGTGTGTGCGTGTGTGTGTGTGCGTGTATGTGTGCGCGCGCGCGCCCGCAGATGTTCTAATATCTGCCACGAAATACTCAGACATTATCAGTTATTTTAGGCGAACTCTTCTGCGTGTTTTATAATTATCAGCAGATATTTCAGTCCAATGCATTACTTTCATCCCCCGTTCAAAAATTCGTACCATTGGCTGTAATATTCGCAGTTCCACGTTAAATCTGATTTGGGGGAAACCATAGGGCCTGATTTTTAAAAAGAATAAGACGTAGAAAGAATTTTTTAACTTGAGTTTTTTTATTCCAAGTGGGGTGGGACTAAGTCCCTTGTACTGCGACGACTTTTGGCCTATTGTACCAGCCAAAATGATAGGTGAGGATGATTGTGGAGCAATTGGTGGAATGAAGATTGGCAGGGGAAACCGAAGTACTCGGAGAAAACCTGCCCCAGCGCCACTTTGTCCACCACAAATCCCACTTGACGAGACCCGGGATCGAACGCGGGCCGCCGCTATGGGAAGCCAGCGACTAACCACTTGAGCTATGGCGCAGCCCCTGGGCTTGATTTTTCCTAAGCGATGACTCCATGTAGTTCGAAGACAGGCCAACGTTTTGGAGTACCGAAAGTCATGAGCAACTTTTTTTGCATGCAACCTTGGAACAGCAGACGAAAGAGAGTACGGTGGTAGGTGGAACCAGCTGTTGTGTTAACCTTGAAGCGAGAAGCTCATATCCCACATATGTGGTGTAGATCAACCAGTACCCACCCCCTGGCCAAGTTTTGCTCCCTCTGTTGAGCGTATTCTGTTTTTCAGCGACTGCAAGCGGAAGAGAGCTTCAGCCAAGGCCCGCGACCCCGAGGCAGCAAGGAAGCTGTGGAGTTTAAGTGCAGAGCTGGTGGGGCTGGAAGACTGGAACCCATTCACCGCGGACGACACCGCACCGCCCAGCTGGGCTGCACACTGAAATTGCAATTACAGTACTTGCGTGTATATATGTACGATTATATATTGTCACGTGTATGAGTGTGACTATAGACGGGGTTTGGATTGAGAAATAGATTTATTGATCATTTACAGGTCGTAACTGTAGCAGTATCGCTATTTCAACAATTTACACTTCACTACAGCAAACAGTCTAGTGTTCTCAGTCTGTTACTAGACGTTTTTTGGTAACGGCTCCAACAGTGGCTATTTCTCTGCCTCCGGGCTCAAGTTCTCTCTTCGCAGACTCCTGTACAGAACTCGACTGAAGTGACCTTGTCCTTTATAATATCTCGGCACAGACCATATAGAAAACACAGCTCTTCTATTGTAGTCCAGTTGTTGCATTGTTAAGAATCTGCTGCCTGGCAACGGGAACGTATACTATCTAAAACAATAAAAATTAGAATATAAAACTATAATTTTGCCTATGGTTCTGTATGGGTGTGAAACCTGGTCTCTGACATTAAGGGAAGAAGATAGACTGACGGTGTTTGAGAACAGGGTGCCGATGAAAATATTTGGATGGAAGAGAGATGAAGTGACTTGAGGTTTGAGAAAATTGCATAATGAGGAGCTTCATAACTTGTACTCTTCTCCAAGTATAATTAGAATGATCAAGTCAAGGAGCATGAGGTGGGCAGGGCATGTAGCACGAATGGGGGAGAAGAGGAATGCATATAGGATATTGGTGGGAAAGCCAGAAGGAAAGAGACCACTTGGAAGACCAAGTCGTAGGTGGGTGGACAATATTAAGATGGATCTCAGAGAGATCGGATAGAGTATTATGGACTGGATTGATCTGGCTCAGGATAGGGACTAGTAGAGGGCTAATGAACTTTCGGGGTCCATGAAATGCTGGGAACTTCTTGAGTAGCCGCACAACTGACGGCTTCTCAATGAAAGCTCTGCTCCATAAAGCAGGCAGTTGCGTACAATATTCATATGTTGATACTACATAATTATAAATAAACGTTTAGAATTCCTATTCTGTGTTTTTTGTGTTGATACCATCCGGAGAATCTGTCTCTCCAGTGATGACTTTTATTTTGAGAGTTCTCTGGTGCAAGGCCTCGTAAATGTGTAGTTAATATTTTAATGTTTTGCCTTAACTCTCGCAGATGGCTTATGGTGTGCTTGGTTTATACGTATACCCTATCTGGTGTTGGTGCTGATATCCGGAGACAAGGACTAGTCTATCGATTGGGCCAAACTGAGTAGGTTTCACCTGAAGATGGATACAGAATCCAGTCTCCAAAAAGCTGTGTTTTAAATGAAAACAGGCCGGTGGATAATGTCCAGAAGCAAAACGTTTGTATTAATGTACCGTCGTCACAAACTTCTAGATCTTGTTTCAAGAAAATGTTACTATTATGTTTTCCACTGTTCATCCCAATTTCGATACGAAAAATTGATAGCAGAATAAGCCAGTATTCTGGAAAGAAGACGAGTGTATATAAAATTAGAGAAAATTTACTCTGGACGTTTTCTGTTCTCAAGTTGGGGCAGCTTTTATCGCGTGTTTCTAAGGCCCTATGAAATATACAGCCGTAAAACATATATGTGTCCGTTTGACGTTGCTTTATTATTCCGTTATAATCAGATATTCCGAAGGAGGTGAAGTGTGGAAATTTTAGCGAATTTCTGAAAACTTTTATTCATTCATTCATTTTAAAATTCCATGAATCCTCTCTGGTCACCATGTGCCTAGGATGTAGAACATATCAGATTACTCTATGTACTGTAATAAATGCAGGTAAATGGTTACCATTGTCACGATCATGTTGTAAAAACTAAATCATAATATATACAATTCGATAGCAGTCTAAAATATACAATTCATAAAATTGAAAAATTACTATATAATAAAAATTCCATAGGTACAAACGTAAAATACTATTATTAAGACCTTGTATTTAGTATTAGTTAAAAATAATTCTTATACAGGATGGAAATTAAATTAACCATTTAAATAGCAGATGGACTCTACATCCTTGTCTTCAGTATACTGATAATATTCATTCAGTGAGTAAAAAGAATGTTGACATAAGAACCTCTTCAGTGTAGATTTAAAACTTTTAACATTATTGCCTAAGGTCTTTACTGACTGAGGGAGGTGATTGTACACTTTAATGTCTGTTATGTATGTTCCATTATTAAATTTTGCTGTTTTCACTGCAGGAACATGTAAGTTATCATGGGTTCGAGTTACATATTCATGAATCTCATTATTGGAATTGAATTTGTTATTTATTACGAAGAGAAGTAATTAATATATATATATATATATATATAGTGAATATAATGTCATTATTTCCAATTGCTTAAAGATATTCCTACAAGAATCCCTACCTAATCTTCTGTCAAAGTTACACCGAGCGTACCAGGAAAGTGATATTACTGACACTAATATTAGGAACGGGGTATAAGCTAAAAGGAAATGAACCAGGGACAGTTACATCATCTGATGGTAGCAGTAACCTCCGACAAGCAGGCGGGCCGAAGCCCACCTGAACTTACTCGTACAAGCTAGCGCCGATTCACCGATGTTGCAACACTGGTTAAGGGTGGAATGTAAGGATTACAAAGGATCCTCAGCGTACGTTGGTACCGTTAGGTTTCAACTGAGGCAGTGCCGCCGGGAACACAAGCGTAAGCTGGAATCCTCTTCTTTGCTTCTCTTTGTCTGCAACGTACGGGGCTGGTTATTCTGAACCGTGAGCTGTACGATGTCTTCGGGCTCCCGCGCTGGGCCAAGAGAACAGGCCTGGCTTGGGTATACGATCTTCCTGCCTGAAGTCTCTCCGAGAACTAACCAGCCTCATACTTTTCAAGCCCTCGGCACGGAGTGCACAGAAAACACCGCTTCCAACAGTTACTCCACTGTTGTGTGTTACACAGCCGTTACGTAGGAATGGCTATTTTTCTGGCTTCACAGTTCTTACTTTGAGAAAACATGCCACAATATTATCCTTCCACTTCCGTCTAGGTCTTCTTAGTGGTCTTTCCTTCTAGTTTTCCCACAGAAATCTCATATGAATTCCTATTAGCACCTCTGCGTGCTACATGCCCTGCCCATTCCATCCTCCTTGACTTGATCATTCTAATTGTACTTAGTGAAGATACGAGTTATTGAGCTCCTCATTATGCGACTTTGTCAAACCTCCCGTCACTTCACCCCTCTTGGCTCCAGCTGACTTCTGACTGTTTCCAGAACTCAATGAATGTACTGAATTGAAAGCGTTTCTCGGACGTTTTGGGCATTAAGCGATTTGCGGGGGGGAATCGAGAGACATTCCAGTTCAGGATCTTAAAAAAGGCCGAGGCGCTGGGAACGTGTTGAATGGGATGGAAATCACATTGACAAATTCTAGGTTGCTGCTCTTGGCAGCTCTTAAAATAATTTCTTAAGAAATTGCTTCGAAACGGATTTAGCCAAGCTTGTGCCAAGCTTGTATAGTAAATAGTTTTCACTGAAGATGAAAGGCTTGCACCGCCAAGACGCTGACTTCGAGGCCTTGTTTTTACACCGCGTGAAGGTGACATCATTACAGGAGACCTGGAGAAGAAATGGACTTTGTCTGACACCCCTCATTGTAACAAAACTTTTAAATAATTTATTTACAGGAAGCAGACAGATCCACTACACTGCCTACTTCTTGTTTTCAAATAATTCTGTTTCGGAAAGTGTGTCACACAAAGTACAGTCTGTTATGCAGGAGTTTGGTCCCAGTGATAACTGCATACAGAGCCCACTGCTCAAAGGAACGTACATTTCAAGAAGAAAACTTCATTTATTCAACACACAAAATACAGTACAAACGGCTGCCTTACATCACGACTTGCAGGAACATATTTATCAGAGCTGTAGAGCCTCTAACACTGATTTAGGAAACCAATACATGCATACTGTTACGTGATGAACACGCAGTTCGTGTCCAGAGACAAAGGTGAAGGACAGCTAAGCAACCAATTTGCAAACGATTGACAGCAGCAAGAAACTGCGAATGCATTACGAGTGCCCTAAGGAAACAAAACGGCGTTACTAATGTCCTTAATAAACAAATTTATGATGTGATGTGTACACTCACTGTAAAGCTACCCAATCTCCTCGTTCTTTGTTTCATGGTAAGACTCTCCAAATTAACAATGAAATTATGTACGTATTTTGAAATTCAGGTTATGAAAATGGCGACTTTGAAGACCATATCCTGCTTGGGTTCTAAGGCGTGTAGCTCGGAGAGCGCCAGATATTTCGGAAGAAAATATCGTCTCCATCTTCAGGGTCGAAGAGAAAGGCAAACAAGAAAGGACAAGGAGACG